GCCTGGATTTCTGGAATTTCCCTCTCAATGTACTGTTGCAATTATTGGATGATCTTCAGCAAAATTTGCTTGTGTGTGCTATCTGTAGTTTGAGCATTCTTTTGGGTCACCTTTCTTTGGAATGGAGATAAATATGAATCTCTGCAAGTCAGTTGGCCAGGCAACTGTCTTCTAAATTTCCTGGCACTGATGAACGAGTGCTTCCCGTGCTTTATCAGCTTGCTGAAACATCTCAATGGGTATTCCATCAATTCCAGGAGCTTTGTTTTTGGCTAATGCATTCAGTGCCACTTGAACTTCACCATTAGCTCTTGGAAAAAAGGGTACTTCTTGAATTGGTGGACTGTCGACTAGTTCTTTTTGATACAGTGACTGTGTGTATTCTTTCCATCTTCTCCTGATGCTTCCTCTGTCATTCAGTGTTTGCCCATGCTATCTTTCAAGATTGCAGCTCAAGGCTTGACTTTTTTCGTGGGGTCTTTCAGCTTCAGATATACTGTGCATGTTCTCTTTTGGCTGTCAAATTCTAATTCTAGTTTTAGGGTGGAAAGACTCACTTTTACTCTGAATTCCCAGTAGGAATGAGGAAGGGTTACAATTTCCCTTCGTACTCCACAATATTTGTAATTGTTTTTTGCAGGAATGAGGTGGTAGGGCTTCAATGTGGTTTTGGTTTCCATCTCTGTTGGCTAAAAGCATTGAGCAACTTTTAATATGTTTGTTAAGACCATTTGAAGAACCTCCTTTATGAACTGTCTACCCATGTTATTATAATATGTTAGGCTACTATTTAAAGAAAACAGAATTTTAGATGAAAGAGAGAAACTTCTTTGCTTTCCCAGGACCATGATGTTAACTCTATCATCTTCAACTAAGCATGGAGTGAAAATTCACTTAATTACTTTCTTGCCTGGTGACAAAGTCAACATTAACAAATGGATATTTAAAAATGGGAGCACATCTATTCAGTCTATTTAATAAAGAAAAAGTCAATTTAATTAAAAAGTCATCAAACAAGATAAACAAGTAACCCACCAGTAGTCTCGATTTTTTAACACTATCAAGTTGAACAACACTGAAGAGTAAGTATACAGTATTCATTCTGATGAGTTTGAATGATGGCGCTGGCAAAGTATATCGAAAGTACCATGATCTGACAAAAGAACAAACAATTCTGTCTTGGAAGAAGTACAGTCAGAATGCGCCTTAGATGTGAGGATGGCGAGACTTCGTCTCCCATAGTTTGCACATGCTATCAGGAGAGATCAGGTCATGGATAAGGACATCATGATTGGTAAGGTAGAAAAGGCAGTGGAAAAGAAGATCCTTGATGGGCTAGGTAGGTGGACGCAGTGACTACAACAATGAGGATGTGCCTGACCGGCAGTGTGTGGCTCTGTTGTACTCAGGGTCCCTGTGAGTGAGAACAGACCCAACAGCACATAACAACATACAGCAGGATGTACTTAGATGGCTTGTGGTTCCTTCAATATGGGGTTTTCAATTTGATGAATATATATATCAAAAAATCAATACAAGAACAAAAACCCACACCAAGTTTCAGTGATAAAAATGCTTTCTTTATTCTGAAAACTTTCAGGTGAAATGGTACACAGACCAAAATCAAACTAGAAAAACACTCATATTGATGTGAACAATGAGTGCCAGAGTGGAGACCCAAAGCCCACCTGTAGACAATAGGACATCACCTCACAGAAGGGCCACAGGAAGGGATGAGCCAGCCAAGGTGCAACATAGCACCAATGCAACATAGAACATTCCTCTAGTTCTTTAATGCCCCCCAACACCCCACTATCATGACCCAGTTCTACCTTACAAATCGGACTAGACAGGAGCATGTACACTGGAACAGATAAGAGTCTTGACACATGGAATCCAGGACAGATAAATTCCTCAGGAAAAGTAATGGGACTAGCAATACCAAGAGGGTCAAGGGAAGGTAGTGGGAGAAAGGGGAGAGAGGGGGAACTGATCTAAATGATCGACATATAATAACAACTCCCTGGAAGGGGGTGGGAGGGGTGAACAACAGAAATGGTGAAGGGAGACAGAGGAGGGTGTAAGATATGTATATAATAATACTTTATAGTTTATCAAGGGTTCATGAGGATGGAAGGGTGGGGGAGGGATGGCAATAAAGAGGAGCTGATATCAAGGGCTCAAGTAGAACGAAAATGTTTTGAAAATGATGATGGCAACATATGTACAAATATGCTTGATACAATTGATGTATGGATTGTTAGAAAAGCTGTAATAGCCCCCCAATAAAATTATATCTATCTATCTATCTATCTATCTATCTATCTATCTATCTATCTATCTATCTATCTATCTATCATCTATCTATATTCACTTAAAAAACAAAACAAAACACTGGGAACATCTTCCTGGTTAGGGATATGTTTTGCTGAAAAATATGTGGTCAAGCTGATTAAAAAAGAAGAAAAACAATACTGAATCACAATCCTGAATCAGTTGAAACCTTCAAAGGGACTACTTTCATGTAACATGGGACAAGATACAGACAAATATAGGAAAACACCCATATTCAAGACACTGAACATTGATCCATGAGGGGCAGGAATTCCTGACTGATAGTAAGCAAAGGAGTGAATCTTCTGATTTTCCTGATTGTCCCAGTGCATATCTTATGAGAGTCTCCCCCACGACAAGGCCCAAGTGCAGGGGAATCCCAGAGTATGTCAGAGGACACTCTGAGTTTTAAAACAAAACTTTCTAGAAGGAACTAACACAAAGAATATAAATATGTCCTAATTTTGGACAAGTTGGGAGTCTTGAATGACTCATGGAATCGCTTTCACTAAAACTAATCCTTTCACGGGGGATTTTAGACAGCTCTGTGAGCTCTCTCCATTAGTTTCTCTATCTGTTTCTAAGGTGGTACATCGAATAAAAGGATGCTTCGTGAAACTGTAAGGAGACCTGGTTGAGTAAGCTTTATACTGCTCATCACAGGGTCATTGATTCAAACTCATCAGCAGCTCTTTGGTAGAAAGAGGAGGCTGTCTGATCCTGTAAAGATTTATAGCCTTGGCAACCCTATATAAGGTCTCTACTGGTTGGCATTCACTTGTTGGCAGTGGTAGTGATACAGTGTTTACATGCAAAGCTGCTGACTTAAAGGTTGCCTAATTGAAACTTGCCACCCAGCAGCTCTTTGGGTGAAAGACTTGGAGATGGGTTTCTTTAAAGATGACTGCCTAAGAATTCTTCTGAGGCACTCTGCTCTGTCACGTGGGGTTGCTCTGAGTCAGCATGGACTTGATGGCACTCAACTACAACAGCTCTGTATCCAATAACCCCAAGATTTTCGTCTTGTATTTAGACTGCACAGACTCGATGTCCTTGTTATGCCACAGGCAATTAAGGCACAAGTAGACTTGAAGCACTTTCTTCTGAAAGTGTAAGTGGTATGTAGACCAAAGCAATATACGCACTGTCACTGAGTCCATCCTGATGCAGACCAGCCTTGAAGGATGGAGTAAAACTGCTCCTGTGGGTTTCTGAGACGTTCAGTCTGACTGGGAACCGCCAGCCTCGTCTTTCTCCTTTGGAACAGCTGGGGTCTACCAACCTCTGACCCAGCAGCTCAATGCGCAGCCCAGCACAGGGCTCCTTAACAATATATAGAATTTTATATCCGTAACCATATCATTGTCGGTGTGGGACATGGAATTCATTCCGACTTGAAAACAACAATAACAAGCTATTTGGGACATTGTAGAATTGCATTTCTTAGTCTTCACTAGACCTTTTCTTCTTCGTTGCTGCTGGGAGGGTTGAACCACTAACCTCTGAGTTAGCAGCCTAGTGCTTAACTCATCGCACAACAAAGATGCTATCTCAGGCTCCCACCTGATGGTCAGGCTCTCTTTGATTTCTTTCTGTGTGTGTGTAGTCCTGGTGGTAGTATGGATTAGGCATAAGGTCCTAAGAGCCAGAGATTCAAACCCACCAGGAAGTTGATGCTGTCTGTTCCTGGAAAGATTTACAGACTCAGAAATCCTTTACAGGTTCCTTAAGAGTTGCAGTAGACGTGACGGTAGTGTGCTTAGCTTTTGGTTTTGAACTCTGATGCTGAGGAAGAGTACGAAAGTACCATGGTCTGCCGAAAGAACAAACAAACTTGTCTTGGGAGAAGTACCGTCAGAATGCTCCTAGAGACAAGGATGGAAAGACTTTGTCTCACGTCCTATGGACCTGTCGTGAAAAGTGGAAGGCCCTCAGTGAGGGGTTGACACTGTGGCTGCAACAAGAACCTGAACCGTAGGAACCATGGTGAGGCTGGTGCAGCACTGGGCCGGGGACCGTTCGCTGGTGTCTAGGGTGGGTCTGAGGGAGAACAGACTTGGCATATAACCATTCTTTAAGTGATAATATGTATAAATGAATGCTTTCTTTATATTATACTTGTGGCACCAAGAGTTGTAGTAAATGTTGATTGATGATATCCGCTGCATGTAGCACCATCCAGTTTTCCTTCAGTCCTTACCTCAACTCGGCCAACTATGGATCTTCAATCCCTTTTCATGGAAGACAGAATTGAGACTAGATTAAATAAAATTCCATAGTATGTGGCTCACGTAGAAGCCCCGGTGGTGGAGTGGCTTCAAGGTGGGCTGCTAACCAAAAGTTCAGTGGTTCAAAACTACCAGCTGATCCAAGGTAGAAAGACAAGGCTTTCTACTACCATAAAGAGGTAGAGTCTTGGAAACTCACAGGGACAGTTGTCCTTTAATCAACTCAAGGACAGTGACTGAGTTTGGTGGGTCGCAGGACTAGAACCTAACCTGCTGGTCTGTCCAAACCCCATGCTGTTTCATTTCAGACAGTAGCGTGCATTTCTTGAGTTGGACATCTCTGCAAACATTTTCCCTTTTAATTGCTCTGTCATGTTGGTCTAAATCCGACTCTTTGTGTCGATGATAGAATTAATCATCTGTATGGCTTTCTTTCAGGAATTACAGTTTGAAAGACTGACCCGAGAGCTGGAGGCTGAACGCCAGATCGTCGCCAGCCAACTGGAGCGATGCAAGCTGGGGTCGGAGACTGGCAGCATGAGCAGCATCAGGTACCGGACACTCTGCTCTTAACTTTGTCAATGCTTGGCGTCACCTTTGAAAGGTAACCAAGGTGTTGGTCTTCCCCATCCAAGTCTGGCAGCGCGATTGGAACATTAAGTCAGATGCTGGGAAGGAATTGTTACTGACTTAATTTAAGTTGTTCAAAAAGTGTCAGAACTGGTCTGATTTGTATGGAAACTCTTTTACCCAAATGAGTGCTTTCGCAGAATGCAAATTGTGTAGGATTTTCCACAAAGGAAGGATTTGCTTTCAGTGGGCTTGCTGGGAGGCAGGAGATGCCAAACCCCTGTCTCTCAGTGGGACTCTGTCTCTTCCAAAGGATCCAGACTTGCTATTTTCTAAATTGAAAGAAAAAAATGTGCCTTTGGATATAATGTGTAGATGGTTTGTTATTACTTGTTGCTAAATTCTAAGAGCCCTTCCTACATATAAACACCTAGGCAATTGCTCACTTGTGATACAGATGAGAGGGGATTTATTCAATTACGTATTAAGATGATGAGATGGATTTTTTGAAGACATTTTTAAAATCTGTTATTGTTTTTTGGGGTGAAAGTTCGTAGTTATCATCCATTCAACAAGTTATACACATTTTGTTTTGTGACATGCAGTTGGAATCCCTTTAATGTAACAGCAAACTTTTCCCTGGTTCCTTGGGTTCTCCATTTCCATTTTTTGTTCTTTTTGGTCCATCCCACCTTGTGAGTTTCACTTTGGGGCAAGTGCTGCCCTTTTGTGTCTCATGGTTGACTGTACTGAGGATACATTTCTCCCTGGTGGCATTCTTCACGTTACAAACATGCCCTTTGGCTGAAAGGTGATCCTCCAGGAAGGATTCCATTTCAGACTTGAAAGGTGACTAAGGGCCATTGTCTTGAGGGTTCCACCAGTCTAGATGGACCGGACCAATAAATATCTTGTCATTTACTTACGTTGACATTTGTTTTACATTTTTCCGTCTGGTTTTTCAATTGTGATCCTGATGGTCAGAGTGACTAATAGTGATCACTGATCACCACTTAGGCCTTCTGGGTTCAGGGTATTTACTGTAGGCTGTGCTTCTTAGCTCATTAGTCCTTTGGGTAGTTTCTGTGAGTCTTTGATTTATCTTTTCATCTTTGCTCTGGATGGGGAGAGACCAACAGCTGCATCTTAGAGGAACACTCAGAAGTGTTTAAGATCCCATTTGGCCACTTGATAGTTAATGTTTATTGTGCCAACCTGTCCAATAATCACATGTGGGGTTAATTGAAGGGTGGAGGGATAAATGGCTCGGTGAGCCTCGCCTTTCTAGTTCTCTAGTCTTTTGCTTTGTGATGGTCGGACCAGGGTGCCGCTGCCTTAGCCAGTTCCCTGCTTCAGCTGGCAAGGGTCACTTCCTGCAAGACATCCCCAAGGAGAAGCCGCATGGACCTCCCCGGATACAGCCCTGGTGTACAGCACAGGTGCTAGAGCAGCTGTGTGGAGACCCCTGCCAGCACTGAGATGCTTACACATTCACTGACTTGGCTTTCTGCCTGCAGTCGGCGTCATTGTGTGTGTTATGTGAGATGGAGAAGGACTTTGTGAATTGGTGTTGGACATAAGGACTAATGTTGAATTTGTGGGTTTGGGCAGCATTGGGTTGGGATGTTTTCTTGATGTGCACTTACCCTTTATATAAAACTCTCTCTCATACATATGCATTTCTGTGGATTTGTTTCTCTAATGTACCCAGACTAACACAGCCACTCACCATAATGGGATGTAGATATCGACTTTGTGAACGATGTCAAGATTATTGACCTAGTTGTACCACAAGACTATGTTTCTAAGATCGCAAACCCATGACTCCGTCCTTCAAAGTGTTTGGTTATGACTGAACTTTCCAAAGTTTGTCCTGCGTATGTGCTCCTTTATCCTTGAATCTACTTGTGGAACATACAAGTACAGTCACCTCTGGACTCCCATTCCCCTTCGTGCATGTGTTCATCTTGCAGCCAGTCCCTGTATCTGCTCTTCCACACTGACTGCTGTTACTTTCTTGCAGGACTGTGTAGGCAAGAACCTTTGTTGTTTTTTGCTCTTGTTTACCTCTCAGTGTCATCCCTTGCCTTGACCATGATGTACTGCCATCGCCCTATTTTATTTTGCCTTTTCCTTCCTCCAATTTAAAATATTTGCACTCTCTAATCATTTAACCCCCACTTCTCTGATAACCCCCAAAGAAAGTGTCTTTCTGTGCGTAAACCTTCTCTTGATTTTTATAACAGTGGTCTAGTACAATGTTTGCCCTTTTGTGATTGACTTACTTCAAGCGATGCCCTTCAGGTCTGTCCATGTTTTGAAGTATTTCACATTATTGTTAATTGATATATAGTATTCCATTGTGTATATGTTCCATGGGGTTTTTACCCATTTGTCCTTTGATGTGCATTTTGGCTCTTTATATACATATTGGCTATTGTAAATACTACTGCAGTGAACATAGATATGCACATATCAGTTCTTCTTGTGTCCCTCATTTCTGTAGGATACATGTCTAGTAGTGGGATTTCGGGATAGATGATATTTCTCTTTCCAATTTCTTAAGGAAGTGATCTTCCATTTTTTCAAAAGTGGCCAAAACAATTTAAAAGTCCAACAAGCGGGGGGGGAAGAAGGGGCCAAACCTTCCAAAAAACCCCCAATAATTTTTTTCCATTTTTCCAAATGTTGCTATGATTACTAGAGTGAAATGATACCTCATTGTTGTTTTCTTTTGCATCTCTGCAATGACTAAAGATCATGAGCATTGTTTGTTTGTTTTTTGCCACCCATGTGGCCTCTTTAGTGGTGTGTCTGTTCGTTTTCTCTGCCCCCTTTTTTTATTATATTGCTCATCTTCTTACTATTATGGTGGTGCTATTTTCTATAAAGTTTAGAAAGTCATCACTTGTCAAATTTATCTTTGACAAAAATTGCTCACTGACTGTCGATTCTCTTTTGATGCTTTTGGAGAAGTCTTGATACTTGTGAGAGTTGTAGCTTTTAGGAGGTCCCAGATACCTGATTTATCCTCCACTGTTAGTAAGATTTTCATTTTAATTGAAATTCTATTTATGCTATTAAGTTAGGACCCCCAAGTTAACCTGTATTTTTTATTTGGTGGATCATGCTTTTTGGAATCAATGTCCTGACACTGAAAACTTGCTAGACCTAAGGGGAAATTGAAACCAATATATACAGGTAGATCACTAGGGAATGCTCAACCCACTGATGTTGAAAAGAGACAAGGCATTCCAAGGAGCTCTTCCAGAGCTTCCCTGGACAGATAGGATTCCTGTAGAGTTGGCACTTTAAATGGATCTCTAGACTGCTAAGCTAGGAGAAAATGTATCTGTTTGTTAAAGCCACCCACTTGTGGCATTCATGTTATAGCAGTGAGAGAGAACAAAGACAGCATCCTTCCTACCAGGCTCCCCTGCCTATAATCTTTTAACATGGCTCTTCTCGCTCTTGAATGGTGGTTTGTTTTTATATAGAAAGACTAGCACTCTGTGTTTTCAGATTATTGCTTGAGTGGTATATTGTTTTCAGCTGCAAGGTCTTATTTAAGATGTGTAGAACCGTATCTGTTCCTGCCTCTTTGTGTTTAGGCTATAAATGACTTCTCATTGGTGCACTGTATTTGTACACAAATCATAGACTTTTCCAAACATACAAATTAACCAAACCTGGGTCGAGAAGGACAAAGAAAAGAAAATTTATTCTCTTTAAGTTGTTTTATAAGGTTGTTTAATTGAATGAAGGTGGTAAATCTAAGATAGGTAGAGAAGTAATATTTCCTAGTGTATGTTTGTATTAATACATGGGGTTGTACTTATTTGAAGAGGGGTTTTATTTGTTGTTGTTTTAATGATGAACAGTACTTTAGAAGCTAAGCATGCCAGTTTTATAGCCCAAATGCATCATGGTACAGTGTTTTAAGCATTTGTTTCTATCTGTAAGGGCAGTGGTTCAAATCCCCAGCTATTCCATGGGAGAAAGATAAGGTTGTCTACTCCAATAAATTTCAGAAACCTTATACAGAGTCACCATGAGTCAGAATCGACTGGACAGTAGTGGATTTGGGTGTGTGTCCTGGGGTTCGCATCTCTTTTAGTTTTAAGTCTGCTCTCTCACTATAGGTCTACCTACCATTTAAATCACGTTCCTAATCTTTTTTTTACAATATATGTGCGCATAGTACATATTTTACATTTTTTCACTCACCCTGAACTCTAGGTAGGAATAGGTGTTAAGAACAGTATTGTCCTTGGTGTTCAATTCCCAGTCTTTGACTTGGCCAGAATCAGAAACATGTCTCAAGGCTCAATGCTTCAGTGACCATCCTGGAAGACACATTGCTGTCACTCCTGAGAAAGTAGAGTAAGTGACATGTGTGTGATACCCAGTGGTGGGCACTAGGGTAGGGTGGTCATGTTGGCTAGCGCGCACAGGGAGGTAGCTGTCATGACACAGAGAAACCCAACGGTGAGGCCATCTGGTTCCTGACCTGCGAGCAGAATGGTCTGTGATTCATGTGGGCTGGATGCGTTTCAGGTGTTGCAACTGCTCAGTGACCTGTTGGGTTCTGAGAACTTTTCTCCTTCATGGACTTGGATTGGATGTACATTTGCTGGTTTCTAGTGTCGAGAGTATTTTGAGACGGTGTGAGTGCGTTCCCGAAGCAGACTGAACAAAGTGACCCATGGAAGCATTCGGTTCTTTATAGCCAGTGTGAGTGCTTACTGGCTTTCTCAGTGTATCCAGTGTCCAGCCTTTGTGTGTCAGTTATGCCCCCTTGTTGTTGTTGTATGGCACTACTGGATCAGGCTGACTCAAAGCAACCTGACACACAACAGAACAAAACCTAGCCACGTCCTGTGCCGGTCTCTTTCCTATGTTTGGGCACATTGTCCCAGCCATGGTTTCAATACATCTTGTTGAGGAGCTTCCTTTGTGGGGATGACCATTTACTTTACCA